ATCTAATTACAGAGCACCAACATGGATATCAATTGGAGTGATAAATCATTATTTACCGATGTGAGAGTGCTTACTTAACCTTGGAGTGCTGGCAGAATTAAAATGTGCATTTCAGTGGGAAAACCCACTCAGTATGCTGACCATGCCAAGGAAGGAGAGCAAGACACGAGAGGCAAGAGGGGGAAAAGAGGAGTGCAAGAGCTGGAGATGGAGATGCAAGAAAAACGTCAGGAAAAGGAACAGGTGCAGGGCACAGAACAACACACAGAAAGGCAACAAATTGAAAGACGTGTGTTGTGCGGGGAATCTTTGGAGGAGATTAAGGTATGAGATGGAATAAGCAGCTCAGAGTAAGGGACAGGTAGAGGAGGAATAGTGTGTTTTGGAGGGGATGAGGAGGGACAGAAGGGAGAGGGGAGGGTTTGGTGAGGAGAGCACAAGACAGACGACAAATTGTGATTAATAGATGGGGTCCGGGGCAGCAGTGTGGAGCGCAACTCATTAATAGAGAGAATTAGAGAGGCTGTGCAACTCAATCTGCACACTGTCACTCGCAATCAAGGACCATAATCAGATCAGCAGTACACAGACAGAGGTAGATGTACGACAGGAGGGAGACTCTTACCCATACATACTCTATTTCCCTACACTTACATAGAATCAGCAGCATTAAATCCCAGGGCCTAAACTATCCCGAGCCGCTAAGCCTGAAAGCTAAGGCTTGACTTGAACTCTTAACACCAAACTGCCAAACTGCCTCTATGAGGTTAGGATACTTATATATTCATATAAGTAAAATAAATGAAACCTATCAATGAGATTGTTTGATCAACAACTGTTACTCTAAGGTTATGAGTTAATTATTAGCCTGTGGTTTACAGCCAAAAGGGATGAAAAGTTGCTGAAATCAGAGGAGATCACAAAGTTGTTATGGTGAAAGATTTAGAATTTGATTCAAATATCCAATGTTAAAAATCTGGCAGAAGTTTTATAATTGGTCTAAAGTTGTCTGACTTTCCCTATTGAAGTGAGTGTCTCTTAATCTTCTCTGGTCAGGAGACCTCTAATCCTGAACCTTGTAGATCAAATACACTAAATTAAGGATAATCAGTGTGTCGTCTGCATATAGGTGATAACATTTTTTTTTGTCAAGTATAGGTAATGACTTAGAAGGAGCATGCACAGGTTTAACAGTAGTGGCCTAAGAACCGAACCCTGGGGGACTCCTCTCATTTATGATCACACATTCTTTCAAGATATGATATAAACCCAGTAATTATTCCACACTTTTTTAGTCCTTTAAGATATATTTTGGTCCTTAGTATCAACAGCTACCCTAGAGTGCTTTGTCTTAAAGTCACACGCTTATAGCCTCTCCGACAAGTTTTGCAGTCTCATAATTTTCTTATGTGACTTCTGACACACAGGAGTTACAGTTTTCCTACACCAGACTAAAACAAAAAGTAAGCGACATAGGTAGATGATGAATCACACTAAACAGTCTTGTGTTTCTTTAAATGCTCGCCCTTGTGATGCTATAGGACTCTTACCTTTCCTTTTCCCTCCCTGCCTCTCAGCTTTCCGTCATTTTGTGGCTTGAGCTCTTTCCGTCTCATTTACTCTGTGACCTGTGAGATTGCAGGTCAGGTTAAGCCCTTTCCACAGCCACTTACTCTGCTTACATTTGTGACTGGCTGTGTTGATAGTACCTGCATCATGGAATGAGCTGGTTAATACCATTGTAACGCCTCTGATCACATGCTGACTATCTGCTCAGGTCATGATTGCTTTTACTGATTCTTCCAAAAGGAGAGAATGACCTGCTGGTGAATCACCTATGTCCAGTCTTATCTATATCATTGGCTGCTGAATGGATGACCACAGTGTATCAACTGGAATGACTCATACCAAAACGTAGGTCCTTTTTAATGACAATGAATCTTGTGTAGTCTCTAAGCCTGCAAAGACTTAAGTTCAAACTGGGTAGTTGGGATGAATCCACACTATAAAACATAAAACTCTGTATAGGTCAAGGAAGGCTGTTATGTAGCTGAAGACACTTTATCCTTAGAGGATGTAAAAAGGAAATCACAACTTACATATTTAATCCAAAAATCATTAACTTGACTGTTACTTCTTACCTGAAGAGTTGTATATAATATTTAATAAAGATTTAAAGATATTTTGCTTCATCAAAACAAAAGTTATTAGTAGTTTGTAGCTATAGAATAAAACAACAATGAAGGCATAGAGACTATTGTATGCCATTAGTCAAACGTATGATAAAGGATGTATACCATATTTACGCCCCTCTTAAAGGTACAGTGAGTTACGCCTCTTTCTCGTTGGATCAGAGATCTTCACATTCAGCTTATGTCTAATTTCAAGACCGCCCTTGCAATTAAATTAATGGCTTGTCCTTAAATATCCTTTCTCCCTCTGCCAGAATGTTATCCTTGTGTTTTGGCTGTAGTTGAAAGTAGCCAACGTGCCATGTATTCTCTTCCCAGGTTTGTGGGAAAATGCTTTGTTGTTGTTTTCTTGTTATGTTTGCTTTAGAAAATGCTTGTTTATTTTACTGCACAATATATATTTTTAGTTTGTACTTGTCGTTATCTGTTTTATAGAGAGTTCCCTGTTTTCAGTTTAAAGAGAATTGTCCTAGCTCTTAGGTCACTCTTGTGATTTTATTGGTAATAATACAAAGATATAGCCTATAGTTGTAGTCACCATCCTATGCTGCAGCATTTCAAAGTCAAAGTCAAAGTCAACTTTATTGTCAATTTCAAAATATGCCAGACATACAGTGGAATCGAAATTGCGTTTGTCTCCGTCCCGCAGTGCAATACAACCAAAATAGGTAAAATAAGATAAGGTAAAATAGATAAAATAAAATGAGGTAAAAATAAGATAAATAATATTTACAGTAATAAATTCAAATTGTCTAATTTGACTTCAGTTTTCTTCTTGCTGGGGCTTCTTGACAGGGTTGGGTCAGCATACCTTTGTGTTAACAACAACAGCCATGTCTCCCACCTGAGACTTAACCCTGTAGTCCTTAAATCTTTCTGCCTGTTGTTGCTCTAAAGCCTTATATAAGTCATATCTCCACAGCGTAGTAACCTGAAGGTCAGAAAAGAGAAGGATAGATATTGAAGTCAAAAAAGGCAAGAGGATCAAACACCTAGCCAGGTTACAGGTTACCCTAAATAATATTTAGCAACGGGTTAGTAAACAATATTTTGTCAGATGAATTCAGTATCAATTTCTTCCTGTAAACAAGCGCTTTAAATAAACACAGGAGAGGATGATATATACATTACAGACAGGAACATGATATCATATATCATGAAGAAACAGAGTCACAGACAGATATTATCTCTTTACAGCTTATATATTCATCGGCTTGGTTAATATTTCATAAGGCTCTAAAACCCTCATTCTCTCTAAATTGTCCTCGCTGCTTGGCAATAATAATTTAAATGCAGGAAGACTCTGAGTGTGCTGCAGTCCACATGTAAATTGTAGGTGTATGTGTGCACATATGTATGCATGTAGGCACTCTTACTCATGCAATAAAGCCACATAAAGGAGCATTACCAGGCACACAGACACAAACAAAGAATAGGATATAACTGACAGTATACTGTAAAATCACATGCAGAAAATTCCAGTTTCAATGTGTTTTTTTATTTTTGTTATAACCAATTTTGTAAGATGTAAAGACCCCCAGTGTCCCACTTTCTGAAAAGCAGTAGTTATTTTTTATCTCCACATGCAAATGTGACTAGAGGCTCAGCATCTGCCTGAGGGCTCAGTCGGCTGACAGTATGCATTCTGGGGAGTGATCTATTGATCCATATTCAATATTTGCTACACTTTCTTGCTCAGTAAAGTTGGGAGATGAATAAATAAAGAGCAGAACTGACAGAACATACAAGTGCACTAGTGCCTTAGAGGACTGGAGGCTTCCTAAATTGTTTTCTTGCTTGGTTCTCATGTGGACGCCCCCTAGACCAAAATGTCTTGATAGAATAAGCACATAAGAGCCATTCTGCTTTAAGGACGTATGTGTTCCGATTCTAATCAGTTTGTTTCTGAAACAATAAAACATTAAAACAATATTTTTCCATGATTTATAGGCATAAGCACCGCATAAATAATGTCCAATTTAACACTGAATTAATTTATTAAGATTATAAATTTTAAGTCAGTAATAGAGAGAGAAGGAGAGGGGGCGAAAAGAAAGAAACCAGGAGGAGATTGAGGAGCAATGGGAGGGGGTGTTGTCAGCAGCGATACATCTTTCATCTCTAACGAGGTCTGAAAGCTACAGAAAAAAAAAAACCAGAGACATTGACAACAGCCTTAAGAAACACAGCTCTCTTCCTTTCACCTTATCCTTTTCCCTTCCACCCTCCTCCCTCCTGCGTGATATGTGTCAGTCTCACATGTGTAACCCACCGCTTTCTTGCACTCACACCTCAGTCTTTACATGGTGCTGCTGTTCTCAAACACAGCTCAACAGGTAGCTGCAACCTTCACTGGGAAATCTTATTTTTTAATTCTCAGTGATATGCTGTCTGGAACTCAGTCGTGGGACAAAATCTCAGGAAATTTTAGCTACATGTTTGCAAGAAAACAAGGATACAATATAAGAAAAAGAAAAACTGGAAAAAGCCGATATTATAGTCAAAAGAACACCTGTCATCTTAGATAAGGATGCTGTAAATCAAAGGACATCACAGTCAAAATACAAATATTTACACAATACCTTTTCCTTGTATGAAATTGGTGCAAATAAATCTTCTACATTTAAATGGCAGACGACAACCATGATGGAACTATTTAATGGATGTAGTCATTGGATTTGTTAAAAGGTCACAGGCAGGATGATGGGGACGGTGAATCTGTGTGTATTAGTGAGCATGTGTGTGTGTGTGTAGGGTGTGTGTGTTACAGAGAGAGGGAGGGGGAGCAGTAGTGGGCAGATGCTGAGGAGAGAGAAGCAGGACGGAAAATACAACAAGTGAATGAACTGTTGCTCTGCAAATAAAGTCGCTGTGCAGCGGGATTTCTGCAGGGCGGAAGTCGGCCAAAGTCACTCGTCAGGATGTGTGGCTTTATTTGAAGGGACATTACGCGACTTTAAACCATTTTATACTGTTTCTTTTTTTTTTTTTTGTCCGTGTGTGCTCGGACTGCCCGTGAGCGCTGCCCGGAGCGTTTTGCATGCTGTGGTCCGGTCTGCATGCCGCAATCGTGGATCTAAAGAAACTGCAAGTTTGAATATTAGTGAGACTTCAGCTGAACTTCACCCGATCCCGAGAGAGATAAGTCTGTGAAGGATTCCATCCCGCCCGGAGCAGTTTTCTGCGGCGTTTCCGTCTGAACCCGCAGCTTGAAAATCCGAAACAAGAAGGAAATAAAAAAACTCAGTGAGTTAGTCTAATCTTTCCCTCTTTTGTTGTCTTTATTTTTGCTGGGGTTTTCAGAGGTTTGCTAATGATTTTGGTTTGTTAGATTAAACTTGGATAAACAGCATTCAATGATAATGAGCTCGAAATTACTATCAAACTTTAAATTGGTTTAAAGAGACATATGGTCAAGTTAGTATAGCCTACTGTTGTATTATTTTTAATTTATATTTAACGGACCTGTCGCCTACATTAATATCAACATATAGCTGTGAATGATTAAAAAATATATTAGTCTTTACAATGACAAAGATGACTTTGTGTAAGACGTTATACAAGTCTCTTTGTATAGTCACAAGTCATTTTGTTTAAAATTGTTGAGCAAACATTTTAGTAGGCTACATAGGCTATAATAAAAATAAGTTTTTAATTTAATGCACTTTATTTTTATTTTTTCAGTTGAAAGTTAATGATTTTCAGTGGAGGTGGTTTTATTTGTCAATGACAGGTAATTTGATATATTTGTGTGTGTGTGTGTGTGTGTGTGTGTGTGTTTCTTTACAGATTCAGAGATTTGATGCACTGTAATAAAAAAAAAGAAATCAGCTGACTTCGGAAAAAGAGATACTTTAAAAAAAATCTGTAACCAATCTGTATTTAAATTTGATCTAATCCAGGCTCCTTAAAAAAATTACATTCAGATCTAAGAAAGGTGTACAGCTGATCAACACAAAAAGGGAGGAAGGAAGAAAGGCGCTGAGATTTTGCAGTTTCCTCTTTTCTTCTCATTCCTGTACAGGCAAATACAGCTCCTTTCCCCATATGTGGTGGGTGAGATGAACTCCAGTGGGAATACTGTAGACCCCACCTGACAGTTCTCTGCCTGAGCAACTAAGCTTTTCACTTGAGCCACTATAGAGCTTGTTTAAAAAAAGATCAAATCAAACATCTGATTTGAAATCTTTGTTATTTTTGGCTTGCAGAATGATGTTTTAACTCTAGAAAGGTTAAAAGCTCCAGACATTCTGAACCAGAGAAAAGTGAAAAGTGAAATGTTACAGAACAATTACTGAACATCAAGAAATGGAAAAACCTTTTTTTCTCATCCATCCTATATCAGATTTTTTCCTGTCTAAGACTTTTCAATCCCGACTTTAGAATAGAGGCCAACTTCTATTCTCTGCCCGTCACCATCTCACACATTCGACTGCCACCCTCTTAAGTAGTGACTATCTGCCCAAAGTTCAGTCTGGCAGGCACAACCATCCCAGCTAAGGGGGAGGAGGACTTCCTCACACTGGCCGCCTCCCGGCTCAGCCGTAAAAAACGAGTTATCGGGGCTGGAGTTGGCGTGGCAATGGTCCTGGTCCTACTGGTGGCCATTCCCCTATTGGTCCACACCACCAAGGGGGGAGGGTCCGGAGGAGGGGGCACGCATTACGAGATGCTTGGGAGCTGCAAGATGGTGTGTGACACTTTCACCCCCCCACAGGGAGAGCTCACGGCCGTCTCCCCTCAGCCCCCGGACTTCCAAAACCGGAGGGGCAAACATGGGCTCAAAGGGAGCCCCGGACTCCCTGGTCCTCCAGGTCCTAAGGGCCCCCCTGGAGAGCCTGGCAAACCTGGCCCACCTGGACCACCAGGGCCTGGACCTGGAGGTTATGGCCAGTCCCTCTACAGTCCTAAAATTGCCTTCTATGCCGGTCTTCGGAAACAACACGAAGGAAGTGAGATACTGAAGTTTGACGATGTGGTAACCAATGTTGGGAACTACTACGAACCAAGCACGGGCAAGTTCACCTGCCCTCTGCCTGGCATCTACTACTTCACCTACCACGTCCTGATGAGAGGAGGGGACGGTACGAGTATGTGGGCTGACCTAAAGAAGAACGGGCAAGTGAGTATGTTCTCAAGGGCAGAGATGGTTGAGTTTGTGTTGTGAGTGTTTTCACAAAGTTTAGCTTTTGAAAAGCACACCAGAAATCTCCCAAGTCAGAGTCCATTCATCCTACTTGATCTACCCCCCCCCCAATGAGGCTATATAACATCAACACTATGTTCCCATTTTCTTCTAACAAACAAGACTGACTTTTAGAGTAAATTTGCTTTCCTGACGCAGGGTAAAATAAAAAAAAAGGAAAACTCAAAAAAGAAGATGATTGACTAATAGTTTGTTCTCATTGCCGAGTTCTGAATTGGACTGTATGCTCTGCACAGGGGTTGCTATAATTGAAATAAGTTTACTAACAATGTAATCAGAGAACAAGAAATATACACAGAGAGTTATAAAGCAAATGTCTTTATAATGAAAAAGAATGAAAATATGTTTACTTTGAGCAGATATAAACCAGGATGTCAACTGATGTGTCTCAACTCGTTAGTTTCAGCTCGTTAGTTTAATCAAAATAATTAACATTTTTGATTTACTTTGGAGGATAAAGAAAAAGAAAGGAAGGCAATGTGAATGTAGAAACAGAAGAAGGACTAAATTCTGCTTTATCAAGAGCAAAAAATAATTAAATGTACAAATTGCAAACCAAAGGCGAGGGAGAGAGAGTGACAGCCGAGCGATCAGGAGGATAACAATCCTCCTCGTCTCAGTGAAACAGAGCCAAAACGCAACAGCTGGCTACTGTCCTCTGAGGAACTCTGACTTTAACTCTAATAAATAAACAAGCATGAATGCCTGGAAAAAGCCTTGAACGCTTCCATCTGGAGATCCGTGACAAGCTTGAAGTACTAAGCCCTCACAGTGGTGAGGAGCCCCGATTCTGACACGTGTGCTGCAGAACAGAAGAGTGATATTCTGGGAATTACGAAACAAGATGAAAATGACTTGCATTGCATTGTTACAAGGCCAGTCAAACAATGCTGGGTGTTTTATGTTACAACAGTAGTTGCTCTGCACAGAATTTGACAGCAATATGCTGCTTAGGAGACTGTCACCCTGCTATTTGTTGACAATGAATACACGTCAAAATTACTTATAATACAGTAGGCAAGCAAATAGGAACTTAACAGCTCAATAGTTTACACTTAAAACTCTCTCACCTATCCCTGTCTCAAGTTGTTTCTCAACAGGAAACGTGTGATTTCTAATTAATCCACAACTTGAGTCTGAACATCCCAAAAACATTTCCCTGTTTTATATAAAATAAACTTTAAAAAAAAGTATTTACACTTGTGCTGTAAACTTAATCCATCTTCATTGTTAATTGATTTAATTCATCAGAAGTACAAAAAGGGAAAACACCTCACAATAGTGCAGAGACACATCAAATAACAGATGCGGATACAATTCTCAAAGAATGCAGGAAGCTGAAAAAAGCTTTAAACTTTAATAAATGAGAAGAAAAAGAACAATTTACAGATTGACAGCAAAAACAATTCAAATTCATCAGCTCAACAATTAAAACTTAGAGTTGGGGTCTGATACTCGGAATCAAAGGTTTCGGTTATAGAGTGACTCTTTACCTTTACAGTAGCCCGTTCCCCAAAATATTGTAGAGGGAAAAATGCACACCACTATCTCCAGAAAACCAAAGTAATATACTTGCATGTAAGTCCTTAATCCATAGTTATTAAATTGACTACGTTCCATCGAAGGAAAAACAGCAAACCCCTCTATTTAAATAATAAAGGTTTGTCATGTTGACCTGGAAAATTGCTAAAATTGTTAACTGATAATCAATCAGATAATAATTTCTAAAATCATACCTCCACCATGGCCACACAATTATACCCAGAATAGTTTGATAAAAGTTTATCTGTGAACTTGCATATAAGCCAACAACTCAAAGCAATATAAAGTCAGGTTCCGGACAAGATTAGATTTCTTTTTCATAATGCTGTCGGTTCATTGACTCGCCAAATATACACATTATGATGTTTTTGATTGTTTTTTTAAGACTGTTCAAGTTCATAAAAACAGTTCCCTTCTGTTTTATTGATTTGTTGGGATGTGCATGAAGTGCAGAGCAAAGACGATTGACAGTTAAATGCCAGGTATAATTGGGGGACTTGGTTTGTTGCGTGCCTTTACAGACATTGTCATTCCTGTCTTCTCCTGCTGTTAAATCTTTCATAGCCTTTAGATGAGATCCTCTCGCCTCCACCTGTGCCCTCCCTTTACACACACACACACACACACTTTTATAATTCACACTGGCTATTGACTCATTCCCCATTAATTATCTTTTCATCAAATAAATTATTTAACCCAATTCTGTGCTGATCTTGCCCTCAAAGTTTCTTTGCTTGCTTTGTTTAGCTGTGGATAGACAAGTGCTCTAGTAGCAGATTGATCAAGTCAGGTAAGAGTGAAAACATTCAGGAGAAACCCCAAAAAACATTTGTCCATTCGGAGACTCTTAAAGGCATTTCCAAGCATTGTGTGTCAATTGTATTAGTTAGGAAACACAATCTTTCTAAAGGAATATGTTGTTCTTGTATTTCTTTTAGTCCATTATGACACAATGAGTTTGACATTTTGGGAATTGCGTTTATTTGCTTTGCAGTGAGGAATTGAATGAGAAGATTGATGCCTTATGTCTGTTTTGGCTTTCTATAGTGTGTTTTTGCAGCATGGGCATGGGCGTGTGAGTATGCACGTGTTTACATGTGTTAACAAGAATGAGCAGACTGATATGTTAAATGGACTTGAGCTTGTATAGCACTTTTCTAGTCTTATACACCGCTTGTCACACCTACCCATTCACACCCCCAACCCCCCAACCTTCAGCCTTGCGGTTGAGAACTGAAAGACTTTACCAGATGAGCCAAAGCCGCCCCATGATATGCATGGTGTTGATCAGAGTCTGAGAATAAGACGCATCATAAGGACAGCAAAGACAGACAGTACACAGACATGGGGGTAGACATAGAGAGAAACAGAGATGGAGAATTGCGAGAAAAAAACACTTAAAGGAATCTATATTGTTGAAGGGCAGGGTTGATGTTAAGGGAATAAATATACGAAAAATCTGACTCGCATTCCCAGCTGACCACCTTCCTGTTACTGTTGTCTAATGAAATGTGCAATGATGTCTAACTGATGTGAAAGTTAACATGAAGTTTGCAGAGCAGAATCAATCAATGTGAGGAATCCTTTTTCCTCCTCGTGTCCCATAACTCATCAAAAGATTGGTGTTGAGGTGGATGACCTTTTCAATGGATATATAATTCACCACCAATATGTACTTTGCCCTTTGCAGTGATGAGCATGGAGGGAGAGTATGAATATTTATAGCTGATCCAGGTTGGTTGGTCAGTTGGTCCGTTTGTAGTGCCCTGACACACAGACACACACATTAGTTTGTGTGACATCACTCTTGTGGACATTTGTCAACCTTGCAGTAGCATTAGGGTGAGGCTATTGGACATGATCCGACATGTTGCTCTGCCTTAACAAGCATGTGTTGGCTGTTATTTTATTGAATGAGTTTTTCAATTCATTAGTGCCAAGTAAAGGTTATCAATAAGTTGTTGCAAAGTGCTTTTTTTTTGCATCTTTAATTGAGTCCCAAGGCTGTGTGCCTGTACATGAAAATAACTAATATATCAAGAGCTTATTAGATGATTAAATGTGCACTTAAAAGTTGAAGTGATGACAAGCTCTGACTCAATTAAAGAAGGAAACGTCTCTTCTCCAGTAGCTAGGTGTGATGCGGCTTCTGTGAGAGGTGGAAGCTGCTAATTACAGAATGTGAGACAAGGTGTCAATATGAACCTCATGTGGCTCATTATGAGACTCTTTCCAATTTGTTTTATTTAGGCATTTTTGAAACTGCCCCCCCTTACCCCCAACCTTACACATCCACTCACAGTTGGATGTGTTTGTACAGTTTATAATACTTTTCTGTGTGGTACTTTGCTTAAGTACCAGATGCAATAGTCTACATTATGTGATAAAAAAACGAAAGTCCACGGTTTCAGACAAGGAACCGTCTCTTACATCCTGCAGCCCGCCGTTTTTTATCTTCTCGTCTTTTGCCCTGAAGACACACACACACACACACACACACACACACACACACACACACACACACACATCTATGTTTATCCACACAGCCATTATTTGACTATACGTTTCTGTTATAATGGCTGAGGCCATTACATTGTGTTGACTAAAATGAGCGGGCTGGCTGTACCGCGCTTTCTCATGCCTTTGTTGTGCTTTCCTTTCGCTGCCCCATTATATTGTTGTTCCTGCTCATCAAGAGCAGGAATCTGTCTCTCACATCAGTAGTGTTTGTTCGATGCAGAAGCAACACGAACAATGGTAAAAAGAACTTGATGATTAACATTAACAAAAGTCAGTATATCATTTTTAATGGGACAGTAACTTATTTTCTGTGATTGGTTTAACAGGACAAATCTAAATTTCTGTTTTATCCCTTTCTGCATTCCTCCCTATATGTGTCTAGGTATTTGTGCACATAACTTTGAAAAACACACAAATTACACTATTGACTGTAAAGAATATCTCACATATGAATATTATAATGTAACTTTAGAGCTCAGGTTCTACAGGTACTATAGACGAGGGGTTCTCAAACTTTTCAGATTGCGAACCCCAAAAAGAAATTGCCAGAAACTGGGTTCCCCATATGTTAAAGCGTATAACTTTTCACACAGCTGTGCACACACGCTAATAGACCTATCCAACCACTGGCATTAGAACAACACACAAGAATACAAAAAAACTATAAAAACACTGTTATATGATACAGTAATTTATTGTATGAAAGGCTAGAACAGTAACAAGCAATTTTGACGTATAGACTTTGGCTCTGAGTGCACATAACAAAACCTAAGAAATAGACACAACTGTGTGTTCATCGTTATGTGTAAAGAGCAGCAGACACCAACATAGTTGCTTTGCAAGGTTTTTTACAC